AACTTTAGACTAATAGTAATAATTAATAAGTCAATAAATATATTAAAATCAGAGTTAATACCCAAAATGATCCCTCGACTATGCCATAATTACCAATTTGGTCCTCAACTACCATTCTTATCCAATTAAGTCCTCAACTATGTAACTTTTACTCAATTAAGTCCTCAACTATATAATTCTTACCCAATTTAGTCCTCAACTATACAATTCTTACCCAATTTAGTCCTCTGTATTAATTTGACTGTTTGTTGACTGTCAAAAGTCGGGATAAAATTATAATTTTACAAGATTTCTCCTTCCTCTCCATTTAGCAGCGCCAAACCATGCAGCAATACACTCCGATCAGATTTCGATCGTCAAAAAATCGTTGGAAATCAAATTCATGGGCTATCCGATGCATAACCACTACTTCGATACTGACAGGTTTAGAACCCAACCGGAGCTTATTGCTACATGGTTTGGCGCTGCTAAATGAGGAGGAAGGAGAAAACTTGTAAAATTACAACTTTATTTTCACTTTTGACAGTCAACAAACAGTCAAATTGACAAAGGACTAAATTGGGTAAAAATTGTATAGTTGAGGACTTAATTGGGTAAGAGTGATAGTCGAGGACCAAATTGGTAATTACGACATAGTCGAGGGACTATTTTGAATATTAACTCTTAAAATCACGTTCAAGTTCATTCAAAACAATGAAACACACTAAAAATATTAATATTCAAAGTTCATAATCACATATCAATTCATTATTACACACATCAGTATATAAACACCCTAGGTCCTAGGCTTCAGAAAATTCAGTTCGTTAGAACATACAAGGACGGAGCCAGAAATTTTGTTAAGAGGGGACGAAGAAGCATCAATGGATCTATCAAATTTTTCGAGTGAAGGCGAAACATTAAAACACAATAGATAAATTTTTTTTTTTAAAAAAATAAATTACCCAAAAAATATAGGTATAAATATTATTGGATATGGGCAAAAAATAAAATACATAGAAATTTTATTAAAAATACTCATAACAAAATATGAAACATAATTAATTTAATAAAATAATTTGAATAGAGAACACATTATAAATTACACATCTCATTTTTAATATAAAAGAATGTTATATATATGTGTGTGGGTGTGTGAGTGTGTATTTTTATTAAATATTTAAAAGCTATTAATACTGTGATTGTGTTGAAGCCAAGAGAAATTGTAAAATTATGATAATGCCAACAAAGGATTTGAATTCTAGACATTTACTATAATCAAATATATGCTCTACCAACTAATATAACTCACTTCTTGATAATATTTATCTGTTTCTTTATATTAATACTAAAACTTGTACTATATATATACATTGTGAGCATATATCCATTAATGTGTCTCCAACTATAAGCTTAGGCTTTTAGTTGAGATGGAGCACATGCTTCAATTTGGTATCAGAGCCAGACCAAAGGTCATGGTTCAGCGACTACGGTTTACCGGTGGGCGTGTGAGCATATATCCATTAATGTGGAGAGATGGAGCACATGGTTCAATTTACATATATACATACAACTATTATATACGGGGGGTGGAGTGAGGGGGTAACTGCCCCCTTGCCCCCCCCCCCCCCCTCTCTTTGGCTCCGTCCATGAGATCATCACCATCACCATTATCACATATACAAAAATTTAGAAAATTGAAAGCATATTAATTATGATAATTAAATCATTAAAATTTTGAATGAAATAATATATAATTTAGTGATTTAGCATTAATTATCATCTAAAACAATACCGTTTAACCAATTGCGAGTACAAATCAATGCATGAACATTTGAAGGAAGCAAACAACTTCTATATTTTTTTAACACACGACCTCATGTACTAAAAGTTGATTTGATGTTATTGTATGTAGTAATAGGAATAATATTTAACACATCACATGACATTGAAGCTAACTCACCAAAACGATGCTTATTATCCTTCCAATAGTTCAAGATATCCAAACTAGCATATGACTTCATATCCATCTATGCTTCATCTAAATACACATCTAAAGCAGATTTACCATATAAATATAAGAGATAAGTATACATAAATACTTTATGGAACATTGTACTTTATTAATAATAACTATTAATACTTAAGGTGCGTCCGACTAAAGCTTTAGGTGCGTGACTTTCCTTCTTAAGGTGTGTGATTTGTATGTTTAAGGTGCGTCAGTTGTTGAAATTTAAGGTGCGTCATTTTAAAACTTTAGGTGCGTGATTTGTGTTCTTAATGTGCTTTGTTAGCAACAAATTTCAGGTTGTAAAAAGTTAAACCATTCGGTTTAAATTTAAAGTTCGGTTCAGTTTGAAACGACTCAGATTTAATTCGGTTCAGTATTCGATTCGGGTTAAGATCTCCAAATTTCAACATTTCCTAATTCACATGATCCAAATTCATACTCTAAACATTATATAACAAAATAGCAATCCAAAATTCAAACACAAAACTAAGTACTAATTACCCAGCATCAGTTAACTTGTTTGCACAACCGACTCTTCAGTTGGTTCACTTGGAATATTTTTATTGCCAAGATAAATAATCATCTATTTGTATAGTTGATATTAGAAGAACAAGTGTCAAGTACTCTATAGTTAATTTTTGGACACAATCTGTCATTGCTAGTGTACTTGAAATGTATTCCAGTACTAGAAAATAATTATGTGCACTGGAAATCAAAATTAGAGTGACTATAAAGCACATTAAATTTATAGAAACATGAAACTAAGAAAAATACCGAATATTGTAAATATAACTCAAGTTAGATATAACTGTGAGGTAAAGAACAATTGTGACGACAAACCACAAAAGTGCAATGTAGACAACAAGCTATAAAGAAATCAAATAAAAAATTTAAGGGAGATACAGTGAGAATAAGTACGGCGGAACAGACATCAAGGGACTTGGATTTACTTCTTTTATTAATTATTATTATTATTATTATTATTATTTATTAAAAAATTCATATGGTATTCGGTTTGGTTCGATTTTTGCCAAACCATTCGATTTTGGTTCGGTACCGAACCGTTCGATTTACAAGAATCTCGAACCGTTTGATTTTCTATTACTAGTTCGGTTCGGTTCGGATAAATCGAACCGAATTGCCCACCCCTACAAAATAGTATGAAAACCACTTAAGAATTTATTATTTATATAAAAAGAAAAGTTCACTATATGTATGCATATAATTTATTATTTGAACATGTACAAACTGATTAATCGTTGATTATTTAAACATGTATATTTAAACTGATTAAACGTTGATTATTTAAACATGTATATTTTGAACTCAGTTTTACTATACATGAGATTCATTATTTATAGAGCATAGCTGGACTATACTTATTCGGCACACCCCATCCATCCTACCCTTTTACTTACAAATCTAATATTCAGTAAATCAAAAGTTTAATGTATGTGTGAATGTGTATAGGTGTCTAAGCTTTAATTTAGGTCGGTGGTTTTCCTTCTTAAGATCTGTGGTTTGTGTGCTAATGGTGCGTCAATTGTTGAAATTTAAGATGTGTCCACCTAAATATTTAGATGCATGACTTTCCTTCTTAAGGTGTATGATTTGTATGTTTAAGGTGCGTCATTTTAAAACTTTAGGTGTGTGATTTGTGTTCTTAAGGTGCTTTGTTAGCAGCAAATTTCAGGTTTGTAAACTGTGTTCCGAACCTAACCTCCTAATTGTTTCAATGTCTTCTATTTAACATTCCATATACATACATGTATGTTTAAACATATATATAATATATATCCCACGTATATTATACCCAACAGCAAGTCCCTGTCAGAACCATAGTCAGTCCCTGTCCGAACCATAGTCATGTCTAAGAGCAACCAAATCAGTTGTGAATTTTATATGGATTTTGTCATACCATGTAAGAGAGGGATAAGGAGAGAGAAAAGCGAAGACAAAAAAAACAAGGGAAAATGGTACTTTTTCCCTCTATGTTATATATTTATAGCACTTTTTCCCCCTCAATTATTTAAGTGGCTCTTTTTTCCCTCTGAAATGTTAAATGGACATATTTACTCTTAAAATAAGTATTTCATTTATTTTTATTCTCCAATAAATTATTACTATAATTTGGTTCAAACCAGATACTATAGTAACCAAACCAAAATATTTCAATTACAATTTATAATCAAAACGCGATATTTAGAGTTTATTAAAATCGCGAACTGGAATGACCGGTTCATGTTCCGAACTGAAAAAATAAAATACATTTATTGTTGAATTTAAACTATTTTAAAATAAAAAATAAAATTTTAAAATAAAGACGGTTCAAAATTGCGAACGGGATCCGGAACCGCCGGTTCATGATCCAGTTTTTTTTTTTTTTTTCTTAAATTTAATAAATTGAAATCCAAATATTGGGTTCTAGATCTGAATCATAACTGAAAACTTTTAATTCGATTGCTATAGTGTCTGGTTCAGTTCGAACCGAACCGTGGTAATCGCTACATATACGCAATAATTTGTTGGAGAAGTAAAATAAATAAAATGTTTATTTTAAGGGTAGAAATGTCAAGTTAATATATTAGGGGGGAAAACCACCACTTTTAAAATAATTGAGGGGGCTAATGTGCTTACATAAATAATTGAAGGGGAAAAAGTGCCATTTTCCCAAAAAACAAACAAATACCGACACTTTCAGGAGTAAAAAAAAAAAAAAAAAAAAAAACTACATCTGACACTAGTTCAAAAATTATATGTTGATTTTTTCTTTTTCAAAATTTGAGCAAAAACCACTGATGTGGTTGCTCTAAGGAACCTATCATAAAAACATTACCACCAAGGAAGTTTGTTTCAAGTGTTACATATTAAACAACCAGCCAAGCCAAGTCATGCCATGCCATAAGATGATAAGAAATAAACAGTCATTACCAACAAAGAAGTTTGTTTCTCCTATTGAATTGGAAAGGAAGAAGCAAGAAAAATAAGAAATACATAGCCTGCCATATGTTTAGTACCGCAGTAATGATATTGCTGTTGGCCACGGCTGGTCAACAAGGTGAAAGGCATCCCTCCAACTAAACACCGCTCTCTCATTTATTGGGTAGAATCGCTCTATTATTCTGCTTTTCATGTTAACCAAGACTACTCCATTAAGTAACCGTAAATAAATAACATTTCTATTTTCAGGATGGAGACTTAGTACTGAGAAACAAGGCAATTCACCCTGCAAACTTTCCAGTAACCCATTATGGATCAGATTTCTAAGGTGAATCTTGTGAACCAAAATCCACAACCCAGAGTCATAGTCCTCGAATTCCCATACATCCAGTATGGGATCTATTGTATATTCATCTGAAACTTCCGCTACACGAAGACAACCTTGGCTTACTCCAAAGCAATTATTTCTGGATATTTGAATTGGAATTGGAAGATGAATGACACGAGAGAATATTTCCGGGGTGTTAAGTGGATCATAGACCATGATACAATCAGCGTTTAGCCAATGCAGCATCCCTCTATAGGCAACAAGAGGAGTTCTCCCTCCGTAGTGATTCAAGCTCAGAGGGGATGAAACAACCAAACTCCTCCATTGCCACTTCTCTGAAGAAAAGACTTGGGCTTTAAACCCGGAACAAGGTGTACTCGGAGTACTACGCCACATACGAAGCCTCACCAGTCACCACCATGAACTTGTTATGATGAGAAGCATCCTCCACCCACAAAAAGCCAATTGAGACATCCTGCGGTAAGCTCTCATAGGCAGCTGGAGGGAGAGCAATCCATTGTCTGGTGAGCGGATTGGAGACATAATAATCAATTTTGTTGGTAAGGGTAATAAGGCAAGAGCATAAGATTAAGTCAGCAAAGGAGCCTTCCAACCGAAGTTTGTGAAGGTCTGTAGGGGGACACGGGAGATAACTTAAACGGAATAACGCACTCTCTCCGTACACCTTTCGTAATAAGGAAGAAGAGTTGGAGATGATTTGGAAGTCAGAATCGCATTGGTTGCAGTCGGCAGAGTCACAGAAGTCACAAGAATATGCAAATCGGAAAACCAGACTTGACTCAACATTATCTGTATGGTTATGATGGTGACGGAAGCGGGCAATAAAGTAAGGAGAAGAGATGAGAGAATACCAGCGTTTGCAAACCGCTTGGAATCGAACGGCAGATGTTGTGGGTAGTCTTACAAGTATCTCGCCCACCAATTCGTCGCACAATAAGTTATTGGATTCATGATTAGCAACCCACCGTAATGCCCTCTGCCCACACGGAATTAGAGCCGCCATTTTGCCCCCCTCACAATCCGCCATTCTTACCGGTCGTCGGCGGAATTAAGCTGCAAAATATTTTTGCTTTTTGCCGAAACATCAGATCAGATCAGATCAGATCAGATCAGAGTTTAAACCTAATTGCTCAACTTTGCGGTTTTAAACTACAATCCTTTTCGGCTGAGATTTTAAGTATACTAGTACGCTACCATATTAGGCAATAGAGTTAATTCCAACATTAGTCCTCTAATTATCATGATTTTCCACAATTAGTCCTCAACTTTTAATTTGGACAATTTAGACCCTTGACTATTAAAAAGTTTTCAATATTGGTCCTTTTGTTTTAATGTTGTTAGATGAACGTTAAAATGAGGGTTAAAAAAGTCTTTTTATGTCTCTTGCGTATAATACATCATGTATCTCCTCCATATACATTATTAAACTCCATATACGCTATTAAAAAAAAAAAAAAAAAAAAAAAAAAAAACCCTTTGTATCTGCTCTCTCTCTCCCTCAGCTTCACCCACCATCACCATCTCTCTCTATCTGGCGGTAAGAGGCAACCCCATCAACGGCCACCAAAGCCGTCGCCACCTTCTTCACTCCCCCTCAGCTTCTTCTCCCCCTAGCCTTAAATTTTCTTTCCTTGCCAGCAATCACAGAGAACCACAGTAGTTTAAAAACAGAGATGGCAGTGGATCCGGCGAAACAGATATGATAGCAGATCCTGCAACATCTTCTTCTCCTCCCGGCGAGATTGGTCAACAGAAGGCAAGCTCCGGCATAGCAGGTGGGCGGCGGCTGCTGAACCTTCGTTCTCGCTCCTCCCTCCCTCTCTCGTCAACAACAACGACGGTTGGCCCTCTTCCCGGCAAAGGCAGCAGGTCCGACGAATCCATCTCCGGTGAGCAGCGACCTCCATCAATCGCGTATACGCTATGGATGTTAGATCTTCGTCCACCGCCTTGGGCTCTCTCCTCGACGGGGTGGCGACGGCGGCACCGGACTCGGCGGCTCTTTCACATCGCCACCAACGCCGTATTCGCAGTCGCATCCACCCATCACCCACGCGTCCTTTCTTCCCTCTCCTTTTCCGCCATGGTCATAACCGCTTCCTTTTCCTCGGCGGCGAGGTCGGGAGAAATCATACGCTATGGATGTTTTTTTTTTGTTCACGGTTAAACAATAATAATTTCTTTCTTTCTTATTTGATCAGTAGCAGTAAGAGCCATCGTGTGACCCCAGTCATGAAAACAGAACCAAACTCTAGGAATCAACACCCATATCCATTGAAATGTCTAATTAATTGAACACACTACAAAATGGATTTTAATGCATTTACAATAATATGCAGCAGAGCTCTCCTCCCACCTCTTTGCTACCCCCCATCAAAGCATAAAAAAGAAGCTTTTGACACTTTCCTGAGTTTCCTCTTGCACACCTCTATCTCAAAACCTTGTTCCTACGACTGTTTGGAGTAAGAAGAGGAAGGCACACGCTTGTTGCGAAACATCATGTAGGCTGTAGCCGAGAGGCAAAACGACGCCGACCATATGATGGCGGCTCCAATCACGTACCTCAACGGGCTCGGCGGCTCCACCTCCAACACTGTCACCATAGGTAGTGGCGTTTGCTGCAGCTAACACTGAGATCAGCTACCGAATCGGAACTACAGATTCTACGGAGGTTGACCGGAGAAGAAGGAAGTGTTTTTTGTTCGAAAATACGTTAGGGGGGTTAAAAGACAGTTTTAGCCTTCATTTTAACGTCCATTTAACCACATGAAAACGGAAGGACCAACATCGGAAACTTTTTGATAGTCAAGAGTCTAAATTGTCCAAATTAAAAGTCGAGGACCAATTGTGGAAAATCATGATAGTCGGAGGACTAATGCTGGAATTATCTCTAGGCAATATTATAATAATACTATTTATTTATTTAAAAATACTAGTTAACATAAAGCAATTCATATATTATAAAATAATTTAAATATAGTTATATTAATTTTGCAAAAAACCTAAACATCAATGCTGAATTTTACAAATTGTTAAAAACTTCCTTATACACAACTTCCTTAAAATAATAATTTTAAGATTGCTAACCCTAGATAGAGCTACATTGTTCATGTACAAAAACATGTTTCTTCAAAAGTAATCCAACATTTGAAAGACACATTGGCTCTTGTTTATTGTTGTTGCATAAGATAATATTAGAGAGAATTGTCTCCTTTTGGAACTTAAATGTCAACTAAAAAAAATGTCAACTGAGAATCTAATGGAGTCAATGTCAATCCCCGGATCAAAAATCCAATACCCAAATTATTTCCTGACATAATCTTTGCTCCAATAACATGATTTCCTAATTTCCTAATAATGAATCTCGTGTCATTACACAAACCCGCTGAATGACCAATGTTCCATGAAAGCATGATTGATGACCCCAATTTTAAAGTAAGAGAATGATTTGGAATCCCTGAACATTTTAATCTATTCAAAAACTTTGGGGATGTGCAATTGGGCCAATGTATATGAATCAGAATCCGATTGACAAACAAAATCGGAGCTGAAATACATTCTACCCTCAGTTGGATTCAAGCTACTCATATACTCATTGATCTCATCAAGTACATCCAATATATGTTGCTGTTAAAATTGCACGACCATTTAAATATTCCAACACAAGTATCAGAAAAACAAAAAAAAAAAAAAAAAAAAAAAAAAACATAGGGAATATACTATTAACTATTGTTGCAATTGGATAATCTTGGGGTTGTAATAAATTATCTTTTGAGATTTCTATATTTGCAAAATCATCATTAGTCGCACATGTCTCACCATCACCTATATGGCTATATACATCAGCAATTCATTTTGAAAAAGCATTTATTTCTTCAAAGGTATCAACATTTCCTACTCTTTGTAATCTTAAAGTTTTAGTCAATCTTAACATTTTACAACTATTCCAAAGATACGAAGAGTTTATAATTGCCCAACAATGTCTTGTCTTTTTCCCTTGAGAATCACATGTAGTATTTGTCAAAAATCACTACCAATAACCACTCTTTTCTCCCCAAATGTCATACTTGAACTCAAAGGATTCACAAATCGTAACAGATCCCTCATAGTTCGATCCAATGCCTCAAAGCAATGTTTATACATCATTGACTCCAAATGATAAGTTTTGACATTATAAGTAGCTCAAAAAGATCACTATTGCCTTGGGAAATGTTACAGGATGAATCTTCATTTACGTCTATGGGTATAGTATCAAGACTGTACCACACTACATAAACAATATACCAAAAATAAAGGAAGATGAGAGAGTCAATTTAAGAGTGAGAAATAACATTAGTCAATTTTAGACATTGTTATTTGTTGCTACGGAATTCGAACATTTCGTATGTGAAAACAACAAATATGGTAGTTTTTTATAAACTCAAATCGTAGTAATTTTCATTTTTATGAATTCACAAATCTTTTATGTTCATCTTCGCTAATTGTTAACTACGGAGTATTTATGTAATTAGATTCCTATTTGGACCTTGGAGATGTTGCTCATTCCTGTAATTATTGTGGTGCCTTATTCTGGCGACATGAGTGCTCAAATCAAAATGTTACGTGAAGATTGCCGAAATACACAAATTGTTGCTACGAGGGCAAGATACAATTACCTCGCATGAAGGATCCTCCTCATGTTTTCCAGAGCCTATACTTTGACGATAATGAACCGAGCATACACTTCCTCAACAATATTCGAAGATATAACAACATGTTCTGCTTCACGTCTCTGGGAGGTAGAGTCGATAGGTCAATCAACACCGGTAACGGTCCTCCGATTTTTAGGATAAGTGGTCAAAATTATCATTGGATTGGAAGCTTGGTTCCAGGAGAAGGTTCCATGCCAAAGTCTGCACAATTATATATTTACGATACAGATAATGAGATTAATAATCGCATCAATTATGTTACGTAAGTATCCAAATACGTTATACATTTCGTTTTGCTTACACCTACAATACATCTATTGTTTATTTACATCCGTTTGTTTCCTATGCAGAAGAGATGTTAACTCAGGGGATATCCACGAAAATAGTGTTGAGGAATTAAAGAACATGATGGACGAAAATAATGTTTTGGTAAAATGTTTCAAAATGGCAAGACCTGAAATTCAGTCTAATCCAATTGTTGAGGTTAAAATGAATTTAATAGGCAGGCGGAATAAAGATGGAAGGACATACAATTTACCTCAGCTAATGAGGTGGCTGCACTTATTGTCGGGGACCTTGACCCATCGATGAGTGATATAGACATATTGATCGAGAGCCAGACTGAACAGTTGAAGAGAATAAATCATTTGAATAACCCTGCATATTTGCCCATACAGTACCCTTTTGTTGTTCCCATATGGCGAATATGGTTATCGTGAAGATATCACATTTTCTAATGCATGGCGCCAAGGACATCACGGTGGTAGGAATAAAATTAGCCCTAAAGAGTATTTCTCATTCTATATACATGAGAAGGTAAATGAGAAGCATACATTGTTATATTCTAGGAGGTTATTTCAACAATACTTGGTTAATGCATATACAATGATCGAACATGCACGTTTGACCTACATTAGAACTCATCAGAAGGCGTTGCATTGTGAAGCTTATCAGGGGTTGAGCTATGCATTAACAAGGGGCGAATTAGATCCCACAACTCGGGGTAAAAGAATTATACTACCATCATCATTCACAAGCGGAGCTAGGTATATGATTAAAAACTATCAAGATGCAATGGCAATATGCAGGGACATTGGTTATCCTCATCTGTTCATTACATTCACCTGAAGTGGCCTGAGATTGAGCTGTGACACCCCGTAAATTTAACCCTTAATTGTGATTAACTGAGGAATTCATCCTAGCTTTCCTTTGATAATTTCTTTCTAAATCCTGAAATTTAATAGTCGATGGACTAGAATTTGACCAGTCTCCTTAGTCAATCATGTGTACCTTTTGCCTTATGCTTTGTACCTCAACCCTTTTGTCTTCCTAACTTTAGTAAGGGTAAAGTTTACCTTTCACACATGTTTGATGCTCAAGTTTCCCTAGCAAGACATTTCACTCATTTCCCATGCTAGCCAAGTCTTAAACTATCCACCTTCTCTCTAAAAGAAACCTTAGCTTTCTCTCCAAGCTAGAAGAAGGGTTCTCTATCCTTGCAAAGTTCCACCTAAAGATTGTACCTTTCTACCTCTCTAGCATAGGAAAGGGTAAGATCTTAAGTTGTTTAGTATTTTTAGTTGGCTTTAAGGTACCGTTATCTTATTTTGGTGTTTTCTTTGTGGTTTGGTTGTGTAAGAAGTCTTGGGTGAGAAAGAGCTTCAAGGAGAGGCTTAGGAGTGTGAAAAGGAAGTGGTTTTGGTCTACAAAGGTAACCCATGCTCTACAAAATCTATTTTCTATTGCTATTGATATTTCTTGGCTTCTATTTTATGATTCTTGATGTTGTGAGTGATTTGGTGCATGATCTTGTGATAATGCATGTTTAGAGCTTGTATTTAGGGTTCTTAAATGCCTTTCTTTGAGCTATTATTGGGTTCAAGTCATATCTTTGTTGTGTGTGAGGTTTTGGGTGCTTTGGACTTGAACTTGGCTTTGTTGATGAATTTCCCCGAAGGGAAAAATGCGTGTACAGGGTTGTACCCGCGGGCGGAACGGCGGGCAGTGGCCTACCCGCCGCCCCACCCGCGGGGAACGAGGCTTGGTGGGTTGGTACCCCGCGGGCAGGCCCACGGGCAGGGCACTACCCGTGGCCCCACCCGCGGGGAACATTGTGATGTTGGCGGGGAATTGTTTCCCCGTGGTTCTTTCTCTTGGTATTTGATGTTTTGACCTCCCGTTGTTGGATTATTGAGCTTTTGTGAGTCTTCTTAATGTTTCGTATGTCTAGAACGATGTTTTAGGAATCCATGTTAGGATTTGGTGTCTTGAATCGTGCTAAGGGCCCAACCTTGTGATTCATTGGACTAATATGAGTCTTGAAGGTTTGTTGGAACCATTTTGGTTTACCCGTTTTGATGAGCATGCTAGTTTGATGTTTTTATGCTAGTATGTATGGTTTGTTCCTTCTTGTTGAGGATTGGCAACTCGTGTTGCCAATCATATTGGCGTTGGATTGTAATCCATTGTTGTTGAGTATTGCTTCATGTCTTCATTGAAATCTCTTGGTTGATTCTTATGGTGTGATCTTGTACAAATCGTTGTACCTTTTTGTTGATACTTGATTGGGCTATTGATGAGCCTTAATCTTCTTGATGATGATGACTATGTGTGAATATGAATGAGATTGGTGGTTTTGTTACTTGAGCTTTGCTCACGAGATCGGTGGTATGTTACTATGAATTTAATGGTACCCTTGTGTACTGAGAGATCGGTGGTATTGTTTGGCAGTGCGATTGGTGGGGGACGACGGTCCCAGACCGGGAAAAGGTTGGACTCAGAAGTACAGGGTGGCACTCGGAGGTACAGGTTGGAACTGTGATAAGGCCTGGGGTAGCCATAAGGGTGGTACTAAGGTATAAGGTTGGAATGTGAAAACTTACATTGTCATTATGTGATTGTTGTATTCCTTGCTTATGAGTATGTATATGATGAACTCTACCTTGTGGGTTGCATCTAGGGTTGTGGTGGTTTCTTTGATTGAAGTTGTTGGTCTTGATCTTTATTGAGAGCGTGATGTGTTGATTGTTGTCTCGTCTCTTGGTTTTCAAATGCTATATACTGTATTCCTCAGTTCCAAACGCTTTTGATTATATCTATGTATATATATTGATACTTAACGCGTATTGGTGGGTTACCAGCTTTATTCGCTGACCGGGTGTTATCCCTTGTCTTTACAGGTTTTGATTATATCGGAGAACGCGCTAGTGGATCTAGTTAGCGTAGCCTTGCCTTCCTTTTTTATTTAGATGTTGGCCTGTGAGCCTTAGATTGTTGGCCTGTGTGCCTTAGTTTGGGGCATGTATGCCTTAGACAGTTGTCATGTTATGTTGAACTTATAGACTTAGCCTGTGCACCCGTAGTCTTATGGGTGTGGCATAGCACTTTCCCGAATTATGTTAGCTTCCGCTTTTCTTATGCTTGATGATTAGAATGTTAATCTCTTAATTAAGCTTTTAAATTGTTGGTAAATTCGGGGGGTGTTATAGTGAGCGGTATGTTGCACAACGTGGGCTTAAAGCAGAGGATAGACTCGATATTGTTTGTCGCGTGTTTAAGATGAAACTTGATGCTATGATTGAAGAGATCAAGACAGAAAAGCTGTTTGGCGACATATGTGGAGGTATTTGATTATCATACATACTTTAATGTGCCCTAATTAATTCTAAAATACATGTATAAAATTAACTTTTTTTTTTATTTTAATTTCCTGCACAGTTATCTACACAATTGAATTTCAAAAAAGAGGACTCCCTCACGCGCACATATTGCTATTTGCCAAAAGAATGAATCGTGCACATTCTGCACCATAAATTGATGCCTTGATTTCTGCTGAGAATCCAGACCTAGATGCTGACAACGAGTACAATGACGCAGTTAACGAATTTATGTTGCACGGATCGGCGGACAACTCCGGAAGAACTCGCCATGCATGGTAAATGGTAAATGTTCAAAGTATTTCCCCAAAAAGTATGTTAGTCAGACGATTCTGGATAAAGATGGTTACCCAATCTATAGAAGGCGTGATAATGGACGAACAATCAGTAGGAATGGAATCCAACTTGATAACCGTTACGTTGTCCCGCATAATAAACATCTGCTTCTAAAATATCGCGCACATATTAACTTTGAATGGTCCAACCAGTCGAGATCGATCAAATATTTATTCAAATACGTCAATAAAGGAAATGACTGAGTCACTCCAGAGTTCATGATTAATTCTATGAATGCAGTCAGTGGTGATGTGGTCGATGAGATTAACATGTACTACGATTGTCGCTATATATCAGCATGTGAAGCAACTTGGCGACTATTTGGGTACGTGATCCATTATTGCATGCCACCTGTGGAGAGGTTAAATTACCACTTAAAGCACCAACAGAACGTTGTCTATGGGGAGGATCAAAGCCTCGACGAGATTGTCGAGAACCAAGAGGTTAAGGAGAGCCAGTTCACAGCTTGGTTTGAGGCAAACAAAAAATACGAAGATGCTCGGTCGCTCACTTATGCAGAGTTCCCTAGTAAGTTGGTTTGGAGACAAAACTTGCGTGACTGGCATCCAAGCTAAGGAAGAAATGATTCTTCATAGGACGATTGTTCTATGTTCCTCCAGGGTATGGAAAATTATACTATCTAAGATGCCTTTTAAATATCATACGTGGACCTTCAAGCCACGAAGATATTCGCACTATTGGGGGATCATTCACAAATCATTTAGGGATGCGTGTTATGAATATGGATTATTAGATGATGACAAGGAGTACATCGACGGTATTACTGAATCCAATTACTGGGCATCCGCGTCTGCATTGCGAAGGTTGTTTGCTACGTTGCTCACTTCAAGTTCAATCACTAGACCCGAGGTGGTGCGGAATGCCATTTGGCAATTTCTTGATGAGGATGCACAGTTTCATCGTCAACGTCTCATGCACAATCCATGTAAATCAACATGCAATCTATTTATTGAACATTATTATTTGCTTTTCATGATTAATACAAAAACCTATTCTTTGATTATGTTTTCGTTTCGTTTCTAAACTATGCAGATTTGTTGTTATTGAAATACGATAAACAACAATTTGCTTTGGTCGAGTTGGAGAAGTTATTGTCTTTGTGGGGGAAGAGCCTGAGCGACTATCTGGAAATGCCGATTCTAGAAGAAAATAACATTGGATTGACGGAAAACATGTTGATATCCGAAGAGTTGGCGTACCACAAGGAATCATTGAAGGTAGAGCATGAAACATTGGTAACTCAATTGACGGATGAACAGAAGGTTGTTTACAACTCTGTTATTAATGATAGTGATTCTAAAGGAGGCAGATTGTTTTTTGTATATGGTTACGGAGGAACATGCAAGACGTTCGTCTGGAAAACATTATCTTCAAAGATAAGGAGTCGCGGAGATATTGTTCTGAATGTTGCTTCAAGTGGAATAGCATCTTTACTATTGCTGGGTAGCAGGACATCGCATTCTCGATTTGCTATACCACTCTCAGTGAATGAAGATTTCACCTGCAATATCTCGCAAGGTAGTGACCTTTGCGAACTTATAATCAAGTGCAAATTGATAATATGGGATGAAGCACCGATGACACACAAATACTGTTTTGAGACTTTAGACAAAACCATGAGGGATATATTGAGATTCACTGTACCTGGTAGTGATCAGAAAACATTTGGTGGAAAGACAGTAGTATTGGGCGGTGATTTTAGACAGATTCTTCCAGTTATTACAAAAGCAACAAGACCAATGATTGTAGGAGCCACTATTAATTCTTCATACCTCTGGAGGAATTGCAAGGTATTGAGGCTCACGAAAAACCTGAGACTACAGAGCTTAGCTTCAAACGAAGATAGACAGACGGTTGATTGGTTCTCAAGATGGATTGCAGACATCGGGGATGGGATTACAAGGTTTGTAAACAATGGTTTGTTTGATATCGATATTCCACCAAGGTTTATGTTGAAGTGTGGACCTGATCCAATTGCAACTATAGTCGAAAGCATTTTCCCAGCGGCGAAGTATGGAATGCTAGAAGAGTCACACCTAGAAGGGCGAGCGATCCTCTCACCGACTTTAGATGTTGTTTGATCAAATTAATCAGTATATGTGTGACATGAACACTACATAAGGTTGGACGTATTTAAGCTGTGACTCTTTGTGTAAGGCAGAATCAGATGGTGATAATCTCTCACAAGTACATACTCCTAAATTTTTAAATAGTTTGAGATTGTCTGGACTTCCTAATCATTCATTGACAATAAAGGTTGGTGCACCTGTTATCTTACTGCGGAACATAAACCACTCTCTTGGTCTTTGCAACGGTACGCGCCTCATCGTTACAAGATTGGCGGATCATATTGTCGAAGCAAGAATAGTTAATGGAACGCAACATGGAACCAAAGTACTTATACCACGAATGTCTCTCACCCCTTCTGATACGAGATTGCCGTTCAAGTTCCAGCGTAAACAATTCTCGTTGATGCTAGCATATGCAATGACTATCAACAAAAGCCATGGTCAAACACTAACTCACGTAGGATTATTATTGAAAAAACCAGTCTTTAATCACGGTCAATTGTACGTGACTTTTTCCCGAGTCACTCATCCTGATGACCTTAAGGTTTTAGCTCTAGACGATGATGGACAAACTTCAGTTACTACTACTAATGTCGTCTACAAAGAGGTTTTCAACAATGTGTAATTCAAAACAGTTATATTATGTTTTCTTCTTGCACCAATATAACAAAATTGTTACATATCTTCATATTACATATATATTCCGTTACACGAATTTCTATAGCTAAATTACTACACATAAAGATAATGAGACCAATTAATTCAATTCCGAAACATTCATACCAACCTTAATTCAACGTTCAAATTTACACTATCGAATATAAAGCAAATTATAATTCATATATTATAATGAATATATTCCGTGCATCGCACGGGTGCAAATACTAGTAAATCATAAATGATGTATTGCTTAGAACTTGAATAAGAGGCGGCCATAGGTCCATTCGGGAATCAGGACTGGATTAGTCATGAATTGCCCTGAAAAAATAAGAACCTAAGGGGCCGTTTACTAACTGGAAACTTCTGAAAATTTTCGAAAATTGGAAAATAGAAAACAAAAAACATACTAAGACAGTTTTTCAGAAATCTGGAACACACTTAAAAACTGTTTTCGAAATGGAAAATAGAATCATCTATCATCTATTTAGTTATATGTCACTATAACCACATTACTATGATTACATTCATTATCATCTTATTTTACTTATCACTATCTTCTATCTTTTCTACTTACTTTACTTATTTAAACATAATTTATTTGCTTACACTTTAAACTTAGACATTATTTACATGATCAAAATTAAGATTTAAACTCTATATATAATGTTTTAGATTTTGATTGAACTCAATAGATTATTAGTTCGAATATTTTTAATTATGTTACATCATAATACAAGTTCGGTCCAGATATCGGATATTGAAATCTCACATATATTAGAATTCAAAGTAAAAGTTATATATTCATATACATGTCATTCAAATGAATATATCCAAAAAAAAAAAATTAAATATTAGATAAAAAATATTAATATTATCTAAACTAAATTTTAGGTGAAAACTGAAAAATTAGAAAACAGAAAACAGAGAACAGTTTTCTGTTAGTAAACAAGTTTTCTAAATAGAAAACGGAGAATGAAAATTGAAAAATTAGAAAACAGAGAACAGTTTTCTGTTAGTAAACGAACTCTAAGATTTTCCGAGCGGGGGTGAAGTGTCAAATAGCACCATGAACCAATAGCAAAATGTCATGCCGCACCCTAATCTTACATAAGTGATGATTCGATGCACAAACTAAAAAATTTTATCCGCCTAAAACTTTTTGTAGGTTGCCTTCAAGTTATAGGTAATAACTTGTTGATGTGGAGGTAATTTGGTATGACATGGCATCCATTTCATCATTTTGCTTGAATAAACAAAGCCTAATTTTTTAAAATATCCAAATTGCCCCAAATTCATACATTTTTCATCCAAAATTCTCATCGATCACGCAAGAAATTCTTCATCCCATGATGTTTGCTTCTTCCCTCCACCTTCATCAAAACCAAAAAAAAAAAAAAAAAAATTGTCGTACGCAACCATGGCTTCGTTGTTCTCTCCGTCTCTCCCTCTCTTTCTCTTTCTCTTTCTCTTTCTCTTTGAGATGTCAAAAACTGATGGACAAAGCAGTGTATGCAAAGGAAGAAAGAAGGTATATTCATGTACTGGTCAACTTACATCATAAGAGAAAGAAAGATTGTATATATACATGGACATACACAATATCCACAATATCGTTGGTGCTACGCCGGTGCCGCCGGTGTTCCGGCGACTGCAATATCGCCGGATTCTGGAAATTCCACAAAATATTGAGAGAAAAAACGACGGAGAATACACAAAACTTGAATTGAAGCAGGTAAATCCTAAAACACAATCTGGAAATTTTGAATTGAAGCAGGTGAGGCCGGCGATGGAAGATGTTCGCGATTGGTGGAAATTTTGATGAAATTAGGGCTAAGTTCAAGAAGATGTTCGCAATTGGTGGTGCGGCTCACATTGGAGTGCTAGATGCTCGCAATATTTTTGTTAAATTCATACAGGAACAGGGAGGATGGTTTTGGCAGTCTTGGCGGTGATAAGGTGGTGAAATTTGTGCGGTGGAGTGGTCGACGACGAGGCATAGGAGGGTGTCCAGAGTGGCAGAGTGGAATAGAGGGCGGCGGAGGTTGGGGATGGAGTCGAGGCAGTGGTCAACGGCGAGACGGAGGAGGGTATCAGAGTGAAAGAGAAGCCGGTGGAGGTTGGAGATGGTGTAGATGCAGTGGTCGATGGAAACTGGGAAGGAAGAAGAGTTAGATATTGAACTTTTGATTATTTAAGAAATAACCCAAAACTTTTTTAAAATTTTAAGTTGGGACACATTAATAAAAACAAACTCCACGTCAGATAAATACACCGGCACCATGTCATCAGGGATACCGGGAAACCTACAAAAAGTTTTAGGTGGACAAATTTTTTTAGTTTGTGCATCGAATCATCACTTATGTAAGATTAGGGTGCGGCATGACATTTCGCTATTGGTTCATGGTGCTATTTGACACTTCACCCCGCAAGTTATGACGTGCAACCGTGTGCACCATGCATGGTGCACACGGTTGCAAAACGTCGTCGTTTTGATTAAAAACGACGCCGTCCAACTTTAAAAAAAAAGTTCATTTTCGATTGCCGTTAACGGCGTTATGCTGTGCATAATTTGAACTATATATCCAGAATTAATAAACTATATATCTATAATTAATTAACTATATATCCACACCGGTTACTGGTACTCTGTTTTGGCTTATGGCAGTTCGTTGTGTCTGTGTATTCAGAATTAATGAACTATATATTCAGAATTAATGAACTATAAATTCAAAATTAGTGAACTAAATATCCAGAATTAATGAACTATATATCCAGAATTAGTGAACTATATATCCAAGATTAATGAACTATATATTCAGAATTAGTGAATTATATATCCAGAATTAGTGAACTATATATCCACACCGATTACTGGTACTCTGTTTTGGCTTATAGTAGTTCACTGCGTTTGTGTATTCAGAATGAATGAACTATATATTCAGAATTAATGAACTATAAATTCAGAATTAGTGAACTATATATCCATAAAATGCATAATACATGAAGAAGTAGACCTCAATTGATAATGATGATAAAAAAAATTGATTGCTCGAATTAAACGGTGCCACTAACAACACCGTTACTCCACCATAGTGAAACGGCGTCGTTTGTAACCGTGTGTACCATGCATGGTAAACACGATTTAACGATTGTTTCCGAGTTGGCTTAGGCTGGAACTACCTCAATCATTATATCATGACCCATGGTTCAACGTACATTTACTTACATAACATTTATTTTTAATACATATTGAAGGTTCAATTCATTATTAGATATACTATCTAAAAAAAAACAATAATAATACATTAAAAATAATATTTAACAAATTACAACTTGATAGGCATTATTTTTATATATGTATAGGATACATTATTTTTTATATGTAATGATCATTATTTGAATGTGTAAAAAATAGTATGAAAACAAGTTGAGAATTTATTATTTATATGAAAAAAAAATCACTATTTGTATGCATAGAATTCATTATTTGAACATGTACAAACTAATTAATTGTTGATTATTTAACATGTATATTTTGAACTCATTTTTTCTGTACATGAGATTCATTATTTATAGAACATAGCTGGACTATACTTATTCCGGCACACTCCATCCATCTTACCCCTTTACTTACAAATCTGATATTCAGTAAAATCTGAAGTTTACTATGTAGTATGTATGTGTGAATGTGTATAGGAGTCTAAGCTTTGAATACCAATAAAGATGTCACAACTAAAACCAAATAAATGCATTGGATAACTTAATATGATAAAACGTATACCAATTAAGTCACAGCTAAAACGAAATGTTAGAAGCAAATTGCAGGTAGTAAACTGTGTTCCTAACAAAACCTCCTAATTGTTTCGATGTCTGCTATCTACCATTCCATATAGGGATGTCAATCGGGCCAGCCCACTCGGTTTCGAGCTAGCCCTGTCGGGTTGTCGGGCTAATCGGTTTATTAATATTTTATTCTCGGGTTCGGTTTGGCCCTAACCCTAAACTTCGGGTTGTCGAGCTAATCGGGCGGGTTGAACCATCTGAACTAAAATTAAAAACGGAAAGTGAGTACCCATATTTACAGTAGAGATGACAATGGGGTGGGTCGGGTCGGAGCGGGTGCGGGTGCGGGAAGTATACTCCCCGTCTCCGTCCTCAATGAAAAATTGAAAATAGTCCCTATCTACGTTCCCGCGGAGAATTTGGCAGGGACGAAGAATTCCGTCCTCATCAATTTTTAGTCAAAATATTAAATTAATGTTGTTTTAAATTTTAAAAAACTAAAAACTTAAGTTTTAATTTATATATATATATATATATATATATATATATATATATATATATATATATAT